CTGGGGGATTGAACCGCGGTCCCTGATGCTTTTGCTAAGCTTGTTCTAAGTAGGTGCTTTAGACCACTGAGCCATCTCTCCAGCCCTATTTTATTTTATTTTTATTTAGTTTGTTTCTGTTTTTGGTGCTGAGGACCGAACCCAGGGCTTCCAGCTTGCTAGGCAAGCATTCTACCGCTGAGCCAAATCCTCAGCCCCTTGTGACTTTTCAGGTTAGTGATACACCATTAGGATAGTGAGAACTCTTTTTCTGTTCAGCAAAATATATGGGAGAAATAAGATGTCACCATTCCTCAGATGTGAAGAAGCTAATGGGGGAGTGAGGATGGCAGATGGAGAAGCACGCCCGCCTGGTGCTGGGAGCCTCCAGGTGCAGGCTGCTTTGGCTGGTGGAGAAAAGGGGCTGGGGGCTCCAGGTGACCCCAAAGGGCTGCAGAGGAGGAGTAAGAGTGACCTCTACAGGAAGCAGCTCTCAGGCTATCTGGGTACCCCCCAGAGTTCAAGCCCTGTCATTAGATAGTCCCCCGTGGGCACCAGGCAGAAACGAGAGCCTCTCTGGAGGAAGGAAATGTTATTCTTTCTATCCTGCAAGCACTTCCTAGAATACCGTGTCCATCCTGTGGTCCATTAGGCGTACAAAACAATTTTTTGGTTCATCAAAAGGATGAACAAGAATTGGCATGAATAGCTGACAAAAAATTCACCAGTACTCTTGAATTACCAGTCACACCAATTGCAACTTAAAAATACCAGCACGGAAAACATACTACGTGTGCCTATTACAGCGATTAAATAAAAACAAAGTCTCCAGTACCAATTTCCAGTGAGGATAAAGAACACTGGATCCCACTCAAGGCTGGTGGGAAGCCCGGAGGCAGCCACGCGGGGGACTGCGCATCCGGCTCAGCAGGGTCCAGCTTGGCGGAGCCCAGCTCCACGAGGGCCTCTGCAGCATTCACAGCGCCCTCCCTGGTGAAGTCTCATCCTCTGCCCTTCCTCCTGGCAGCACTCAGTGACCTTGCAAACAGTAGGGGCTGCAGCTCGGGTCGATGCCTGCTAAGCACTGAAGGAGGTATGGTGTGTGGACAGTGGCTTGCTTCTCAGTAGAGCGACCCACAAACACGGCCACACCATGGAAGGTGGCCAGGGGCGCCCTTCATGGATGCCACCGGGACACCACTCTGTGGCTCTTATCCCCCCAACCCACCGCTCAGTCTAGCCAGGAGAAAACTCAGATAAAGCCCAGCAGATGGACGTCGCCTGAAGTACCTGACCTGCGCTCTCAAAAGGAGTCCAGCTCCTGGGAAACAGGGAGGTCTCAGAACCGCAGCCGCCAACACGAGACGCTCGCTAGGTGAGAACTGCGCTGGGCGGGAGGAAACAAAAAGAGAAAAGGAAAGACTTGTTTGATTAAGAATGAAGGAAGTCTGGACAGAAACGGCCGGTTTACTCCCTGGGCTTCGCTGTTGAACTCGGCCGGCCGAGCCCTGGAACCCTGAGGCTTCCTCCTGCTTGCCCTCTTTGGCCTCCTGGGCTCCGCCTGGGAGTCCAGCTCCTGGCTGGGCCCTTTACTTCCTCATCTTCCTCCTCCTTTTGCTCCCCTCTGAGTTTCTCTTTCTAAGAAAATATATCAAGTTATCTTTTAAATTTCTGTTAATTTTTGTTTGGCTACCATCTTTACATTTCAGAGCATTTTCAAAGTCTGTGTTCATAGTAACTTCCTGTCCTATGATTTTAAAAATATGTAGAATTTATTTTTAAAGGTCAGAATTATTATGTTTAATTAGAAATCATTGGGTTTTTTTTTTTTGTTTGTTTGTTTTTTGGTATTTAGGACAAAGTGTACAGGGTGTTCAGGGTCTCACTGAGTAGATTGGACTCGTAGTGATCCTGCTGTTTATAGCCTCCCAAGTGCTGGGATTACAGGCACGCACCACCATGCCCAGTCTCAATCCCTGTCTCAGTGTGCACTGGGGGCGGGCCCTACACTCAGGCCAGGGGATCAAACTCCTGGGAAAGTATTGGCTTTTAAAATTTACTTTGTTGGAGCCAGGGAGATGGCTCAGTGGAATAAGTGCTTCCCTAGCAAGCACAAGGGCCTGAGTTCAATCCCTGATTCTGCCATAAAGTAA